ATAGCGACCCCTCCTTGGGTTTCCGAGGCAGTATCACTACGGAAGTAGGATTGCCCAACCTTCCTTCCGAGGAGTGGCTGGTGGGTTTGAACCGCCTGCCTTCTGGTTAGCAGTCAAGTGCCTTAGCCACTATGCTACCAGAGCTCCCAAAGGACATGGGGTAAGACCCTTATAAAAGGTCTTTATAAGCCCATCCACACTAAGGACTTTTTCCCCCCTTTCTTGGAGTCCTAAAGAATCAGTAGAAGAGAAGCAACAGGAAAATGACAGAATCTCATTTACATTTTAAATAAATGACCCCTGTAGAAGTAGAGGACAAAGGAGGGCTTTTATTTGTGACAAATATTAGAAAAATGAAATTGGTAGGACTGGTACTTGTTTGAATGCTGGAGTTAAGAAAGAGGAAAAGAGAGTAATCTAAATTTCTCTCTGATTTTTTTTTGAGCCTTTCCATTTACACAAGATCATTCCTTCCTCTAAGTTGCCATAACAATTGGTATCTCTATATTGGCATTTTCTCTTGGATTCTGTGTGTTTATTTTTGCATTTGCACATACAAAGTTGTATGTTCCTTAAGGGCAAACCCACATATTACTCCCTGATGTTGTTGTTGTTTTTATGTGCCATCGAGTCGGACTCAACTCATAGTGACCCCTCCTTGGGTTTCCGAGGCAGTATCACGACAGTAGTAGATTGCCCAACCTTCCTTCCGAGGAGTGGCTGGTGGGTTTGAACCGCCAGCCTTCTGGTTAGCGGTCAAGTGCCTTAGGCACTATGCTCCCAGACTATCACTCCATACATAGTAAAACCAAACACCAAACCAAAGCTAAACACCAAATCCACTGCCATTGAGTTGATTCCAACTCCTAGTAGCCCTATAAGACAGAGTAGAAATGCCCCATAGGGTTTCCAAAGCTGTAAATCTTTACAGAAGCAAACTGCCACATCTTTCTCCCATGGAACAGCCGGTGAGTTCGAACTGCTGACCTTTTGGTTAGCAGCCAAATGCTTTAACCATTGTGTCATCAGGGCACCTTATAATTGTTGAATTAAAATAATATTCAGTGCCTTTCTATAACAAGACCTTTTGTTTAAACATTGTTGTTGTTGTTATGTGCTGTCGAGTCGGCCCCAACTCATAGCGACCCCTCCTTGGGTTTCCGAGGCAGTATCGCTACGGAAGTAGGATAGCCCAACCTTCCTTCCGAGGAGTGGCTGGTGGGTTTGAACCGCCAGCCTTCTGGTTAGCAGGCAAGTGCTTTAACATGGCTAGATTCAATTTCAAAAAGTGGGGAAATAAACGAGAGAAAAAATTCTAAATCCCCAGAAACTTAATGGTTTTTGAAGACTAAGCTATTCATAGATCAATAATTAACAGCACACTCCTTTCTAACTGAGGGTTCTTTTGTGTTTGCCACTAAAACACAGTGAAGATCAGGGTTTCTATAGTTACAGAATGGAGTTCAGAATATATTTATTTTAGTGTGAGCAGAATATCTGAGTGGAAACAGCTGAACACAATTTTTCAAATCTAACCTCAGATATTAAAGCAATATGTTACTGCTTGCATCCAACATATTACAGTTGGGAGGTGAACAAGAAAGACTTCGGAGAAGGGAAGCTGCCAAGTGGAAAAATGCTCACTGAGAGAATGACTGTGTCGAGCTCTGTCAGCTTTTCTCCATTTTAATCCAAGTACAAATCGTACTCCATATTCATCTCTGGATCCTTCTAAAACTGTTGTTAGCACCCTGACTTTATCCTGCCCTGTTTGCATTAACTAGGCTAGTGAGGGGAAACATGATTTCGTTAGAATATGCCAAAAAGACTCTGAAATACAGAGAATGCATGGTTATTTGATCAAGTCATAGGAAAAAATTTTGCATAAACCCACAGAACCCATATGAACCCCAAACAAATATATTAAGCTGACCTCAGTATTCTGCTCTAAGAATTGTCTGGACAGAGCATTCGAATTTTTTTTCTCAGTTTCTAAGTTCATCTTTTTCAGATTTCTTAAGAAATATCTTTACTAGGCCTATTTTAGTGGTTTGTCCTTTAATCTCAGGAGGGATGAAAAAAATGTTCACTCAAACACACACACACACACACACACACACAGATATTGAGAGAGAGAGAGAGACCCCTAATATTTGCTATGGTCTAGTCTTCAAACAGGTAATAGAAAAAAATAAAATTTGTCTTGCTTTCTTTTAAAAGCCTTTCCATAAAGGTAACATGATTTAGGTTCACATGCTGAAAGAAGATGGGAAAATTCTGTATTCTACTTGAGTTGAAAGTTTCATTAATAATGTTAATGATGATGATAATATA